TGAATCTTGCATTCACAAAGCTTGAAATTCATTTTGCAGTAACCACATGATAAGTTACTTCTGGCAACATTGGAGGACACTTTGCCCAGGCCTTGGTGAAGCTCAGCAACTCATTCCTGCCCTACATTAGAGAACCCCTTCCAGTGACCTAAATTCAATTATAGAATTGGAGGGGTGGGGGACTGGGAACTGGGTGAACTGGGAATTGGGTCAAATGGATGGCAGCCAGGCCCTGGAGCAAAGGATTTGAATGCCTGGGTTCAAATCCTGCATCTGCCACTCACTAGTCATGCGGCTTTGGGTAAACTACTTTACCTTATTGTGCCTTGATTTTACTAATCCATAACATGAGAATTATAGTTATGTACCTTATATTGTTGTTTTGAGGATTAAATGAGTTCATACACATAAAAAGCTTAGAAGGGCTATCTACAGGCCGAGCCCGTGGCACACTCGGGAGAGTGCAGCACTGGGAGCGCAGCAGCGCTCCGCCGTGGGTTCGGATCCTATATAGGGATGGCCGGTGCGCTCACTGGCTGAGCACGGTGCGGCCGGTCTCAAAAAGGACAAAATAAAAGAAGGGCTATCTACTACATACTAGGTATGCAGTAAGTATTAGCTATTTAAAATATTTTACCTTTCAGAGTATGAAACACTGTCTTTCTCTCTCTGTCTCTGTCTCTCTCTCTCTCTCTGTCACACACACATAATCTCATTTGAGCCTTAAAATAACTTTTAGTTGAGGCAACCAAGGCCCAGAGAGGCTAAGTGACTTCCCCCAAGGTCACACAGTATACAATTAGCAAATGCAAGGCTGTAATGGGGACCAAAGATGCAAACCCGATTCTTCCTGTATTCTGAGTACAGAGACTAGCTATCCCCAGCATCTGGCCCCAAGGAAGTCACACACAGCTCTGTAGCCTGTGGTCCTTGAGTGGGTAGTGACTCATCCATCGCCTATGGTAGTAGAAACAGTGTGTGCCAGAACAGGGTAACTGCATTAACATTTTGCCCTTCAATTTCTTTCCTATGTTCTCCCCAGAAATTGCTCTGAAACTCCAGGTCCCCATGGAAACCTCAAAAAGATTGCCTATTGACTCCAAGCAAAATTTTGCTTCAACTGCTCCCTTGATAAATGGATATTATTAAAAGCCTGGCCCCAACAGGCACCTGCGGTAGTTCACAGCCAAAGCCACATTCTCCTTGGGCTGAGAGGGTGGAGGAGATAGTGCATTCTCTGATGCCAGGATGTGTGGTCAGCTTAGAGGAAAAGGGGAAAATGTACTATGAGCTCCTACTCTCAGTGTCACACAGGGCAAGGTGCTTTCCAACTATGTTTTGTGACAAGAGGCTGGAGTGAGGTGCCTGCCAAGAATGTGAGCGTAAAACTAATCCAATCAAACTGTGGTGTTCTTTGATGTCTGCAGAAGTCACTTGCAATGTGCTTTCCAGACCAAAAGGTGGAAGAGTAGGGCTTGGAGTTAAGGCTTGAGAAACTGCAAAAGAAACTTTGAAAAAAGGATAGTATAATCAAAAAAAGAAACAGAATCTAGGCAAAGGAAAGCATTCAAAGAACCAGAATTTAGCAGCACTTTTCCAGCATCATCCAGAGATCCAGTGGAGTGGGGGACTTGACGTTCCAGACATTTTTAGTGACAGGAATTGTTCCCTCATTACATATTTGAGGAATACCTGTTGAGCACCTATCACAACGTGTCAGGCACTGTACTGGGCATTAGCACTAGAGAGAATAAGGCAAAGAGAACTCAGTCTAAGCAAGGCAGATAGAACAGACTTTCAAACAAACAATTATGCAAGATGTCTATTTTTTGCCATATATTTTTGTACATATTTGGAATTTGTACAGTGTGAATGTAAGGATCTAATTTTTAAATAATTAATTGAAAACTAGGCTGAAAAGAATCAAATACACACAAAAAAGTTTGCCTTTACTACTACTGCTAACCAACCCCTCTTCTGAAAGACAATTTTTCTTTTTTTGTCCTTTTTGAGACCGGCTGCACCGCGCTCAGCCAGTGAGCGCTGTGAGCGCACCGGTCATCCCTATATAGGATCTGAACCCGCGGCGGTAGCGCTGCTGCACTCCCAGCACTGCACTCTCCCGAGTGCGCCACGGGCTCAGCCCTGAAAGACAATTTTTCTTTTTTTTTTTTTTTCTTTTTGTCTTTTTTCGTGACCGCTAACAGGATCGCAACCCTCAGTGTCACGCCCGCACCGCGCTCAACCAGTGAGCGGACCGGTCTCTATATGGGATCTGAACCCTGGGCGGGAGTGCCGCCGCGCTCCCAAGCACCGCACTCTACTGAGTGCGCCACCCGGCCGGCCCAAAAGACAATTTTTCTGATAGCCAGTTCTTCTGACCAGAGAGCCACTTTAGATTTACTTTCCCTGCTTCATCATGTGTCAGATACTCAAAGATAACTTGTTTCTCTTGTTTTCACAGTTAACTTACAAATTCTGTTTTAGTCCCCTGCTTTTCTGGATAGCTTCTCTTTCTAAACAGCCAGCATTCACTTCTCTCACACACACTGAGTATAAAGAGAAGCAAATTTAGGCCTGACCAGTTAGGTCCCTTGGTTAACACGTGGTACTGATAACACCAAGGTCAAGAGTTCAGATTCCCATACTGGCCAGCCACCAAAAAAGAATTTAAAACAAAATGACAAATCTGATCTCAAAGAAAAATTAAGCACAGAGAGATACACAGAACAATTCCTAAACCTGAAAAACAAGTCTGAAAGAAAATCTTATAAGGGAACCCATCTGTCATTTAAAACTGACAGAAATCCAACTCATACAAGCTGAAGAGAAAAAGGAATGGAGAGGTTCAGGAGTCGGGGCTGGCTTCCAGGGATGTTTGCTCTCTTTTGCTCTGCTTGGCCATACTCCACAGTTGGGCCCTTCTCCTGGTGCTCAAGATGCCACCAGCAGCCCCAAACTCCCAGGCTCTAGCTTAGCAATCCCAATGGAGGGAGAATTTCTCTTGCTGAACATCAAACAGCAAATCTAGAGGACACTGAGAAGGATCATCCTTAGACTTGTCCAGGGGTGGGCTTCAATCTGGCCCAGCTTAGGTTATATGCCAATACCAACATAAGCCACCAGGACTGCATGAAATACGCAAAGGAAACTTCCGCAAAGGATATTTTAGGAGTGCTGGGTAGAAAAAATAGAAATACATATTTCCTATTGCTGCTAATGAGTCAACATTATGACCACTGGATGTTTTAAAAAGGCTTAAAACTATAAAACCTTGCTCCCTGCATTGATTAGAAGTAGTGGGTTTTCAATTTCAAGGCAAGGTGGCTGAGTTCAACCTTTCACAGAGACATTGTCTAATGTGTCTGTACTAGACATACTTTTGAATTCTAGATTGGAAACACGCTTATAAAATTGGCCAAAAAACCAAAAATCCAATTTGTAAATCAGACTACAATTTTATAGTACCTCTGAAAAGTTTTGCTTAAGACAAAGTATTCCTGTGGTGCAGCCTGCCAAAATTTATCTTCTTCATTTTAGCCATGAACTTTTAAAATAATCATCTAAAACTCAATGAAGGGGGCCGGCCCGTGGCTCACTCGGTAGAGTGCGGTGCTGATAACACCAAGGCCACGGGTTCGGATCCCATATAGGGATGGCCGGTTTGCTCACTGGCTGAGCGTGGTGCTGACAACACCAAGCCAAGGGTTGAGATCCCCTTACCGGTCATCTTTTAAAAAATAAATAAATAAATAAATAAATAAAAAATAAAACTCAATGAAGATGTCTAAGTGTGGGGTCCATACTTAGCTCTAAATGATAGAATAACTTAAGAGGTTATATTTGTATTCTTCTTAGCAAAAGTTCATTTGCCTTCTGCAGAATCTTCTTGGTCAGCTGAACCAACTGGATAAGTGATATTTCCTTAGACCAACTGATTCTTCAGTGACTGCAGTTGTACCCTCCGGAGCACCAGACAGAGGATTCATATTAAATGCAAGATTCTTAATAAATAGAAAATTCATCTAAGAACAAAAGTTTAGACATCCTTGATAAAAGAAGTTGTTCAATTTTACAGTAGAACCATGAAAACATGAATGAGAACTAATATTATGTTCAAGTTTAATGCCAAATATCTCCTACTTGGAATTATATGATTAAAGCCAAATTCCTAAGACATCTTCAAGAAGGCAAGACGTGATAAACGTATTTTAAAGCAACGGTTCTCATCTATGATTGAGAGACTCTTAGGTATTTCAGATAACTAAGAATGACACAAAACCTTCAAAACAAAAGGAATTTTAAATCAATTTTATTTAAAACCATATATAAACAGGCCAAATAACACTCAAGCCTGAGAGGGCTGCAATCTTTTTAACAACATCATAATCCAAAAAGACTAATACTTATTGCTGATTCAGCTCACAATATTACCCCTTTTCAAGCAGTAGCACAGTCACTAGAAAACATTAAGGGCCCCGTTTAAGAGCATTAGAGATTCACAGAGCACTGAGCCACAGCCCTGCCCTCAAGGAGCTTACAGTGTGGCTGGAGAGACATGAGACATCCAAAACAGAGATGAGGAGCTGCCTCTAACTTAATAAGAGCAATCGCTGGCTTATAGTATCTCAGCAATTATATACTTTATCAAGTTTCAACTTAATGTATCAAAAAAAGTTTTTATTTAGTTCCTTTATATTTGTGTTCATTCATGTTTCTGCTCAAGTGAGTTAAAAGGGAAAAACATAATTCTAAGCCAAGTGTACCACGTTTGCTGTCCTAAATGAAGGGATAGATTGTCCATGTCCTAGAATTTCTCCACAGTTCCGCATCCCGATGTCAAGTTCAGTAGTTTTTACTGCCAAACCGATGTGCAAATTCAGACAGCGTGTACACAGCTCCCCATCCTACCTCAGGATCCATACTGATAAAATCATTCAAGTTCATTTTGCAATCTAGAAAAATACATGAAAGAAGTGTCTGCTAAAACACAATCTTAGTTTGACAGAAATAAAACCCAGAAGACCAAAAGTAGGGAAAATTATTCAAATAGGTAAGGGTTCAATATCACTTCTGTGGTATTCTTGTCTCAAATGCACAACACCTCAATCTAACCATGACAAAACATCACACGAACCCAAACTGAGGTATACTTCATAAAACAACTGACAAGCAGTCTCCAAAAGTGTAAAGGTTGTAAAAGAGAAGGGGGGGAAATAAGGAATCAGATTGGAGAAGACCATGATAACTAAATGTTATATACCTGTGTTAGATCCTGAACCAGAAAAAATAAATTGGTGGGAAAACTTGTAAAATTTAAATAAAGTCTGTAAGTTATAGTATAGTATTCCAAATTATATCAATATGTTTATATCGATCATATCATTTTCCTAGTTTCAACAACTGCACTATCGTTATATAAGACGTAAGGGAATCTGAAAGGTATACAGGAACTCTCTGTCCTGTTTTAGCAAATTTTCTATAAATCTAAAATTATTTCAAAATAAAAAGTTAAATGAAAAAATGGATGAATAATCAAACTGCCAATTTATTGGATTCAACAGCCAATTTGCAGGAACTTCAGAGGATACAACAGAAATATGATCAGCAAAATCCAGACTATTCCTCCCTAACCCAGTTTCCCCAACAAATAAATTACAAGAAAAAAAAGAGTTGGACAAGAAGTCTGTATATGAAAAAAGACTCTAGAGAGACAAATCAAACACAATATGGGGACTTTATCTGGACCCTAATTCAAATAAACAAACTGGATAAAAAAAGATTATGATTTTAAAAGATAACTGTAAAAAATAAATAAATAAATAAAAGATAACTGCAAATCTGCACACTGACTAAATAGATATATGATGATTTTAAAGAGTTATTAATTTTCCTAGACATAATAATGGTATTGGGGACATGTTTTTTAAAAAAGAAATCCTTGTATTTTAGAGACATACTGAAAAATTTAGAGCTAAAAGGATATAATGTCTTGGATTTGCTTCAAAGTAATACGGGAGGGGGAGAAGTGGATGGGATATAAAAGAATCAACTGGCCATGAGCTGACAAGTGGAAAACAAAATTAAAAGCTAACACGAATCTTTCCATGAACTTTTTGAAGTATCCTCAAAAACTATTCTAACTTTCTGTATGATTTAAATTTTCCATATTAAAAAACTTTCTTTTTAAAAAAAAGATGACCTGTAAGGGGATCTTAACCCTTGACTTGGTGTTGTCAGCACCACGCTCTCCCAAGTGAGCTAACCAGCCATCCCTATATAGGGATCCAAACCTGTGGCCTTGGTGTTATGCACCACACTCTCCCAAGTGAGCCATGGGCCAGCCCTTAAAAAACTTCCTAAAGTACAATATCTATAGATTTCTGCTTCTGCCCATCAAAGAACTGTTATGAGAACTGTACTTCTACATAACCTACCAGAAAACTGGACAAAACATATGAAGCAACTGTTTCCAGACACCAGACAGCACATGACTGATTCCTGAGAATGAGAAACAAGTGAGGGGAGCCCTAGGCTCACTCCAGCTTACTGCCTGGATGCCGCTTCCAGACCACAGCACAAAGAAGGAAACACAAACAGCCTGGCAATCTCCCTGAGTTGAGAAGGCAGAAATCAGAGTTCAGGAGGGCCCAGGCAGCTAGGATTTGAAAGGCAAAGTATCAGACAAGAGGGAGCTATGCTGAGAGTTCCAGAGATCTGCAAAGCAGACCCCTGTGTCTTTGGACAGGGAAAGAAGGACCAGAAAGTAGTAGGTCTAATAATTCCCAGAACTGCCACTGGGTAGGAATAATTCACATCCACACCAGCCAGAGAGACACAACTCATAACAGATGGGCATTTGG